CCTGGGATTCTGGGAGCTGAAGTCCCTTGGCCCTTAAAGGGGAAAAAGAGGCTTTAATAAAAAGAGTATGGGAAGGGTTAGGGTTAGGCAACAAGAAAGGGAAAACTCACAATAGCAAGCAAAAACAGTAAATAAGGAGGAGGAAGAAGAAAGTCCAGTCCTAAATAATGATGTTACTATTTCTAAAGAGAGTCTGATGGAGAATTGTCTAAAATAATAAGAACAGGAAGGAGAAAAGAATTTGGCCAAGAACAAAAGAGTTTAAAACCTTTGTTTAAATTAGCTGAGAAAGAAGCCTCAGAATCGAATGAAAAAATCATCACAAATTCAAGGACACACAAAGAGGGGTTAAGCCACAATTGAGTGCAGAAAAAACATACAAATCACAGAATTATACTTTAAGCAAGTCTCTTGTGAAAATGGAGAAGAACATTTGTAAATCCCAGCTAGATAAAGTTTCTAAACTTTCAAATCTGACATCTACTATAAACCTATATATTAAATTAGACACTAGCAAAGAATTGTTAACCTGGCAGTTAAACAGCACAACACAAAAGTTGAACAAATTAGAAATGATTGGGAGAACCCTGAGAAAAAAGAACTGGAATGTGTTGTCATTTATATAGAAGACATGCTAGCATTGCTGAATTTAGCTGTCCAGCGTACCAATGATAACAGAAAAGCAAGCAATCATCAATTGAACATCACAAGGCATACACCAACTGACAAAGTGGAACCAGAGGTTGTGATAGTCTATATGGAGAACTTGATGACGTCTTTAAGAGATGCTTTGCAGTGTGCAGGAGAAATTTTAAAGTTTGCTCAGTGCACCCAAAGAATCTGGTCCAATGAGATAGGAAGAAATACTTTTTTCCAGGAGATATAGCGGTGATTCTTTGGACAGTGAAACAAAATAAGTTGGTGGTCACAAGAACTGATCCAGTGGAAACTCCTGAGAAGGACCAAGATGTAAATGAGATAACAGAGTGGAAAACCAATGTTATACGTCATTAATATAATGCGGGAGGAGAAATTGTCAGACCCATACTGGGAATGGGAAAAAGTGGTTAGAGATAAGGCTCCATCAGTCTTCACTC